GCGCCTCAAGTGCGGTCACTTGGGAGTCAGCCTCAGAAAGATGATTGGTCAGACCGGACCGGGGTCGGCGCACACTCGTGCGCACGTGCTGATTATCGCGAGAAGCGAGATGATGAGCGTTGCGCGCGGAGTGAATTTTGTGGGATTTAGTTCTTTATGAAGCACGCTTGTGCAGCATCGTCCACAGCTTTCTCCTCCCGTGCCAACCAGACTCCCAGGGTAAGAAAATGTCAAGACGGCCGACAATGAGCTGAGGCGCAGGTGCTCACGAAGGTGAATAATACATTCTAACTTGCCACACGCTAGCGAGTCTCCGCATAATGTACCGGATCTGCATGCAAAGGGCCTCAGAACGCACGCGTGTAAACATGCCATAGAGGCCGGATTCTATTCACAGAATCCACAGTACTGACCGGGTTATATATTTGGCTAGCATATTTCCAAGCCAGGGCGATTCGCACGCAGCAATAGTTTCCAACCATGGCGTTCTTGTAATAGTTCGGGGGCGAGGGCGCCAATGTTCGGCGAGATCGTTTTCTCACTGTCTCTCTTCGCTCCCATGTAGCGGCTGAATATCGGAGGCTGTGGATATGCTTGGGTGCAGTTTGGGATAGAACCTCAACAGTTTGTATATGTGTGTTCCACACGGCCTGTTAAGGCATTGGGCTGCACCGAAAAAAAATATTTTCCGCTGACGTGCACTGTGCATGTTTTGTCCTTGCATCGAATGCTTTGAAGCGTGTTCGTGCGTAGGGCATTGCCTGACGGAGTGAGGTTCTTTGGTGCCTGCAGCACGTTATATTAAGTTCCTAAAATGTGTAAGCCAGTTTCAATGCAATGGGTTGACGAGTGTCCAACCAGGAGGATTCGCAAATAGGGGTGTACGCTGGCAGCAAGGACAAGCTGGAACTGCGGCTAGATAACTGGCGATGTGGCGCCCCTATTAGTCATGCTGAGTCAGTTGATGATGGCGTTGGAAGGCGGTGTCTTTTTGGTACCAGGGGGCGACGTTTAGGGATGGGTAACGGAGATATTATTCGTTGAAGTTCTCATACGCAATTTCGGCCTCCATGAACCTCGACGAGCTCGTAAACATCGTGTTTAATTAAGAATTTAGTTCACCTTTTCAAGCACCCTTCCTCGCGAAAAGATAAGTCATGCTATTCTCAAAGTGGGACTGTCTAATCATCATCGATGAGCCATGACAGTGTTTCAGTGGAAAGACGGTTGGGGATAACCTGGGCCGCATTCGGAATTGCACAGTATCATTTCCGTAGGAATTTATGATCTATCGGGGGAGTCTGTGAATTAGTTCGGCTTTACTGGGTGTGAAGAGGAACACAGGCCCATTCCTATTAAGTGTTTTAACCAGCAGGTCATAGAAGATGACCGAAATGTGGTTACTGTGCTGACCACGGCTTCGTGGAAGCATAAATGACAGATGGGTGGCGGGCTAGGGCCAAGCAAAAGTATACAGCAGAGCCACTGGATACGATTGCTGGGCACTAACAGCGTACCGATTATATAATTGCCTCGTACGAATATTTTTGTGCCTGTTTCATCAGATGCAGCTGGACTAGCCAACGGTACAAATCCTTGCATGACTATTTCCGACACTGTCTGCGCCGCAGGGTATACTGGCAGCTGGCGGCTGGGCAACGAAACACACTAATGCATCTACTGCGACCGTACAACCGCAATGCAGGTCTCCGCTTACAATACTCCCTGCACTCGAAGTACCACCTAATTACTCAGAAACTTGTTAAGCAGAATTTCTGCCCCGTATCTGCTACTGCTTTCTGTTTATGTCTCTGATGATGACTCAGCGATGGATCTCGAAACGTCAGGCGAATGAAAGTGTTGTCCCAGCAATCGAGTCGTCCTCTTCTCAGAGCTTCCGATATTGTATGACGTCAATAGGCGAGAACCGCCCGTATCAGATGCTCTCAGCTTTCACTATGCGAGTCACTTGGGTTTGACGTTAGACCATTTGGCAATAAATTCGAGCTCCATATAAAATCACTTTTACCCGAGAAGAGTATCATGCGTTTCAGCTGCTGTGAAGCCGGAAACATTTTGCGTAACCATAAATGGGGCAAGTAGTAAAATAGTTGGATGTTAATGTGGAAATGTTTTTTTGTCCGACCACGACTCAGTGTTAACTCTGCATAAGTTTACGATGAAAAGCAATGCCATTAGCAATGCTTTTAGACCCTAAATTTCCCTTATTGCAGGGGTAGAGGGAGTATCAGCTTTTAAGTACTTTTAGCACAGTATGATACTTTGAGCATAACCGAAGTTATCTTTCTTCATATTTCCTGCATAACATGCACAGCATGACTTTACCTTGGCAGATTGCCATCCTACCCGTTATTTTTCCGCTGAGGCATAAAGACAGACCGGATTATCACTGAATATGCATCCCTTCCTCACTATGGACAAATGCAAGATAGAAGAAGAATTTCAAGGTATTTATTAATCCTTTTTTACGCCTAATCGGCATCGTCATAAGTGGAAGTTAATAAGTTGGTTTGAGCCGCACGAAGCTAAAGACACCAGGCGAGTAGCGCGGGAAACAGTCAGCTGTTCGAAAAAATGTCATTTGTGTGTTTGTGGCAGCCACACAAGTGCGACGCACATCAGTCGGACTAACCCTTCTGCAAACCTTTAATTTTGCTTATTCGTTAATAATAGTCATGCTCAAAGCTTCGGCAGATTTGGCGTAGAACAACAGATGGGGCTTTTGCTACGCGCCTTACAGTTATTTTATTCCGTTTATAGGTGTTTGCATTGCGTAGCTACCTGCAAGAGCCTATCTTATATGTATATATACGAGTATTTTTTCGAATAACAGTTAAAATATTAAAAAAGTCAAATTTTTCTTGCGACTTGTCATTGTTTAACTGCACTTAGGCAGTGGAAAGTGACCTTGAATGGCTAAGAATATTCGGATGCAGTTTTTTGCATGCCCTAACTGATTCGAAGATTGTACCTATCAACCGATTTTAAAAAGGGTTGGATCACTTTGTTGCAAGATTTTAGGTGTTTGCCTAACATGTCCTTGGTCTTTGTAGTAAGGAACACACGAAATATGTTGGAAGATTTCGTGGTCAATTTTTGAAGTTATTTTATTTTCTGGTTGTCATACTGTACTAGTTGCTCTTGCCCTGAGGAGTAATACGAAGGGTTGACATTCATATCCTGATCGCGACTAAGACAAAACTTTGCTAAACCCTGCTTCAAGGAATATTTAAGAATCCTTAGAATACAGAACTTGACGGTTCAAATTTCAGGGTAGATACGCAGCCGAAAATTCTGCGTACAGTAAGACAGAAGGATTATTCTTTGCTTATCTAAGTTTTCCCTTAACCAACCTTTTAAATGCATTTAAACTTGTTTTGCAGGCCTGCTCAAATTGGTTGACTGCTGCCTTTACAATCGACCGGTATTTGATGATCTGCCATCCATTTATTGCAAAGCGGTTCTGCACAATCCCTCTCAGCAAGCTTATTATTGCTTGCATTCTAACTGCCAGTCTCTGCTACACGGTGCCCCGATTTCTGGAGTACAAATTCATGGATATCGTTGTCCTCTCTCCTCTCTCCACCGGCGGCGGTTTCGGAATAGGCACGAGTATTGAGGCCGGCGGACATCACACCAACATTTCCTGGTATGTGCTCTCCAACCTGGGACAGTCAGCAAGTTTCCGCAATGGCTATCATCTGTGGTCCTGGTGCATACTCGTCATCGGCATTCCCTCCGTCATAATTGCCGTTCTCAATGTCTTTCTGGTACGCGAAATTAACAGGTCAATCCGGAGAATGCGCGTTGAACATGGCGTAAAGTCGCGGCAGCAGGAGACCGACGTGATGCTGATTGGTGTCATCGTAATCTTCTTCGTTTGTCAAGTGAGTATACTGTTTAACGCATCTATTGTGGCGTGGTCCTTTTTGTTCTCGGCGTTGGTCGTCTAGATATAATTCAATTACCTTCCTTTTCAAGGTGTTTTTTGTTCCAGTCCACATTCTTTGTGTTGATATCCTTTCTCTAATCTTTTCAAAGTTCTTTAATTCCCCCTACAATTCACTAATACCTCATGCCTATTCTGTTCGGTCCTCATCAAGTCCTGCGCCATTGGGGCACTGTTAAGCTTCAAAATATTCCGCGCGACCCTGTTCAGTGTTAAAATATCTTAAATGAATTATCCAACTGCTGTTAACTCACTACATGCGACGCTGTAAACTTTTGCCTGAGATGGGTTTCTTCGAAGCCTGAAGTTTCGAGTAAGCAAGTAACAGACTGTTCAGTCGAGCGCCACTTCTGTCTGCTTCCCCTCTACTTGACTTTTCGAACCTTTTCGGTAATATATTATTGTCGAGGCACCCATGCAGAAACAGAGTCTGTGCATGGGTAGACGCTTCCGGAAAGGCAAGCTTTTCCCATCGCCGAATCTTTCTGACAAGAAAGAGTTATGGTTTGTAACAATCCGGACGACCAATTATCATTGCGAGCAATGAGACAGGTTGCGTCACGGGCCGCGGCGAGAGACAGGGAATCAGATTCAGTCCCATAGTCCGCATTGGCGGTCTAAATATAAAAGGAGATTACCATAAAAGGAGGGCTGGGTGCAAGACTCTCGAGCAATTACAAAACGGAAGACCAAGTCATGAGTAAATATTCGGCATTAAATAGACCTCTCTAGATGAGAAATGATCTCTGGAATCCTAAAATTGATTATTGTAGACGGTCTCATTTGCTTCATTTTCCCATTTTTTCTCTTTCTCGAGTGTTTATTCTTCCTTATCCTTAGAGCTTTTCACGCATTCACCTGTACGAAAGAATTTGCAAAAACCTAAAACGGCGTAAACACATGCATAAAAATATTGTGCTAATTTGTGCGATTGCAATTTTGAACCACGGGCCACCTCCTCCTATGCGAATGATGGTAGGTGTGCAAGGGACAGCTTATGTTGGACCAACGTTGACGGAATATTGAGTTCTCTCAAATCACTTGTGCCCAAACTTCGATAAACTTCACGGAAAAAGTTGTGTATGTATTGCACCTCATATATCCGTAGTATCAGTATTTTGTCCTACGGAAACTGCGGCTAAGGGTGTTTTGGGGGTAGGGAAAAAGGAAATGCAGGGAAAGAAATTTATAGAAGTAAGTGGAAAGTGAAAAAATGTAGTTGAATTTGTTTCCCACGACCGCTGAGAGTATGTTGTTCCACATCTAAATTGAAGGTGTGCGCGGCACTTCGTACCTCGGATTATATTGCTTCCCGCGGTCGTTGGGAGTAAGTTGTTCCGCATGTAAATTGAAGGTGTGCGCGGGCTTCGTGCCGCGGACTATACTAATCTAAATTCAGAACGGTAAGTTGGACCTCAGGTAAGTTGAAGTAGACGACCTCCTAACAATCATTTCTATTTTTTCAAGATTTTCGAAAAACCTGCATTTTGATAATCGGGTTTTTCCGCAACGTGTTAAACGATAATACAGACTAGAAAAATTACAGATATAAATCAACCAAATTTCTAAATAAAATAAAATAAAAATACCTTTAGCAGTTATTAAAGTATATTCCATTGACTATCCTAATTCCCCGCCCATAAAACCCATATAAGAACCGTTTATATCGGACAAGGTGCTGGGACTAGAGTTATATGAGGTGCACTACTTAAACTACTATTGCCAACTTCACGATGTCATGGTGACTGGATCAACAGAAAACCCCTGCACTTGACTGCTCAGACGGCTCCTTTAGTGATTAGTACTTTTATCAACTGTGGGACAGAGAACAAAGCTGGTTAAGGGTGAATAGAAGAAATATTAGACTGAAATAGCAATACACATGGAGCAAGCCTCAAACCATGGTGACACTCGATAAGTACCAAACTATCTGCCAATTTAGTGGTTCGGCCGCTGCACTGAAGGTTTATGTTCACGCTGTTAATGGCAGCTTTTATGATGAAAACTCGGCAAAGGTCGCACAATGGCGTGAAAATTTCGATTACTTGTTAGCTTCGATAATTAGTACATCACACCTTCACTCTACTCTGCAGCATCGTCTGATCCGACTCCAAACAGTGGAGTGTCATGCTAAATTCTTCTGAAGGGGAAGTAGATTATGCAATAGAAAGTTTGCCGAACAAAATGGCCCGCGGAGCGGAGGGTACCCCCGTTGACATTGGCAAGTTTTGTCGTGACTATCTGTCGCTCTGGCTCCATGACATGCTTGCACAAACTTTGAGAAATGGGGTCAATCCCAATAACTGGGACTTGAACATCCACCCTCAGGGATGGAGATAAGACGAGCTGCTATAACTATCACGGCATAAGTCTCTCTGACGTTGCTATGAATGTCTTTGCTGTTTTCCTTCTGGATAGACATTAAGACAGTGTTCAGCGAGCTAGGCCTAAATGTAAAGGCTAGATATTTACAGTAAAGCGCATTATTGTACTCAGCCATAGTTACCAACAGTCGACGGCCGCGTAAATAATTGAATTTGCCGCTGCGTTCGATTCAGTCTATTATGCCTCTCTCTGGTGGATAAAAGTAGTAGATTCTGTACCAGCAAATGATAATCATCATGATCAAAGCTTACTTCTATTCCATTACAACATGAATTCTCGTCCAAAATAAACTATCTCAACCGTTTAATATTCGGATATTTGGAAAGTTTTATCATGTGTTCCATCCTGCTAAACTACGCAATTGTCCGGCTTGTTGGCCAGCCTTCACGAAAATTGTAGGGTATTGACTTTGCAGCCAGATACTGGTGGACTGATCTCGACTATAATGATAATATCGGCTCACTAGCAGCAAGTTTTGTTTATCTGAAGTGTTTTGTGTTACGGGTGAAGGTCGCTACATCGATTTGTTTATTCATACAAGCTAGGAAGACCAACATTCCTTTGAGTTGCATCCCTGACAAGGAGAAGACATATCTCAAAATTATGGTCGGCCAACTTGAAAACTAGAACTGTTTCACATACGTAGGGACGACGATGCTGCCAAATGTACAGAATAAAGGATGGCTTTGCCTCCCGAATCGCTGCTGCTGGCTGGGTTTTCTCAGCCATAGCGTCAACCTCAAGGCGTGTCCTAAGATTCTTTTCGAAACCTATCCATCCGGCTATGGAGCAGTTGAGTTAGTGGTAATTCAATTTTGCGTGATATCCGGAATACGTGAATTCAGACGGAGCAATTTTTTCCGTTTATTCTGATAACACGACGTAAATAGACAACCGTATTCTGTTTTGGAGTGGTGCATTGTAAGGTACAATTAAAACTATGTCAACATTTCGGACAAAGACGAGCAAACCAGGAAGAATAGAAGGATGCTCACCGATCGAGTTACGGGACGTGCTTGTCCAGTTGTGTCCTAGAGCTCAGTATTTGTCGGTAGTCCCTTGTCTGTTTATGCGTTGTCCGACCGGCAGGGGATGTTCTTCACTAAGCCCAAGGGGGGGGGGAGCATGCCCCATAACTTGCTCATTAGGCGGCTTTTTATCTTAGGTTTTATTCTACTTTACATCCGATAGGACAAGCGACCCGTGGCCCAATGATTTGGGCACTGAACTTACTAACGGTCAGTGATCGAAGAAGGCAGGTATGAGCCCCAGTAACCACAAAATCTAAGGCTAGACAGGTTGACGAGGGTTAATAAGCTAGAAATAGCCACTACGGACTTCAACTTTTTCGACTTTGGCTCCTTATCTAGAATTTATTACGTCTGGCCTGTTTGCCATCGTTAACCTACCATATCAGAACCTCAAACGGGGAAAATCGAAGATGAGCTCGTGGAGTTGGAACTAGATTAAGATTGAGTAGTTATGTGCCTCAGATTACAAATGACCATTCCTGTCTCTATTGTCTCCTTTTTAAAGCTTATTTTCCCTGGTGAAAATTTTAAGATTGTATAAACAGCAAAATTTAATGGCTCCATCAATTTCGAGAGTGCTCTTCAGTTGCTACCTCGCATTGCATAACGTGAATTAACGTCAGAGTGTAACGACGGACGCTACAAGAGAAAATACACAATTGAATTCATACAGAAAAAATCGATACAAAACGGCAAGGTCACTGAAAATGGCCAAGAGGCAATCGATAAAGTAGGAACTTTAAGTGCTGTAGGCAGCAAAAACTGGTGAAAAAAACGTTTAAGGCCCAAAATGACGGAAAAGATAGTTCCGAAGAAGCCCGTTTTCATATCTTTCTCCTTAAAGGGCGACAACATTTTCAATACCATCAGGAGACGACTACTTAATGCCATTGAAAGGACATATTATGCCGCTGCGCTTATACTTTGCAATCCAATAAGGCTTTCAGCGATTCCTCGTGCGAAGGATGCCTTGCCGATGCACGCCACTC